ACAATCATCAGGGTAAACCTCTTTTTGTTGTATGACCTGCAAAACTAATGACATTCCCATCAGACTCAGCTGTAGTTTGTGTTTGGTGTTAATGTTAATGTGGGGAACATTATATATGTGCCTCAAGAGATGAGCATATGTGTCTCTTGATATAAATCAACATTGTAAGAGAAAGCTCAAAACACCTGTATTTCTTGAGGAAGCTTAAGAAGGCCAAATTCCCGTGCCAAGTTCTTGTCAGCTTTTACAAAGGAGCAACAGAAAGCATCCTGACTGGAAACATCAGTAACCGGCATGGGATGTGCACGGCCCAGGCCAGGAGGGCTCTGCAGCGGGTGATTAAAACTGCTCAGAAGATCATTGGTACCCATCTCTCGAGCATCAGTGATATGGTTGAGGTGCCTGCGCAGAGCCCAAAGGATACTAAAGGACAGTACCCACCCAGCCACAGCCTGTTCACCCTGCTGCCTTCTGGGAAGAGATATAGAAGTTTCTGCTGCCGCACCACCAGACAGCAGAGCAGCCAAGCCAAGCCATCAGACTCTTAACCTCTAGTTCATCCTCAGCACTGCTCCAGTGATTATAGTTTATTTCTGTTACCATTTTTCATAATTGAATCTTTATTAATGTTTATTGTCTGCTATGTAGCAGAAGGGAGTTACAAAACTCAATTTGACTCTTAAACTTGTTGTATTGTGACAATAAAACCTACCTACCGACCATCTGTCCAAAATATGGGTTTCATAAAAATTATTTAGATTATTCACAGGTCTTGAAAATAAACTGTCATTAGGTTTTCTTTAAACCATCTCAACCCATAAAATGAAAAAGGTCTTTCCTCTGTCAGTCTCTGGAAATCGCAAGTCATAAAAAACTTTTAAAAAATGTTTTAAACTTAAAACCCAAACTAGAGTTGCACTTTAACCTTTGCTGCGACCACATGCACATGTTCACATGTGTTTTAACTTCTCTCTCTTTGCTTCCGGTGTGGTGACAGAGCTGAAGGACACTGTGGCGGTGAGCAGCAGCTCTCTGAACAGCGAGAATCCTTATGCTACCATCAAAGACCTGCCCGGCCTGCCTTTCTGCCCCCCAGAGAGCAGCTACATGGAGATGAAGTCAGCCGTGCCCAGAGAGCGAGCATACACTGAGATCAGCCCGCCACCGTTCAACACAGCCACCTTACGCAGAGGTGAGCAACATTTCAGACCTCCTTTAGCAAAAACATTATTATAATGTGGGGATGTGGGCTGCAGCGCATCAGAAACCTGCGTTGATATTCATGTTTTTACTGTTCATTTTTTAGACATTTTATTTTTCAACCAGTGTGACTAAATAAAATCAACTTCACATCATCAGTTTTTGAAGAAAAGATCAGGTTGTTAGACAGAGTCAGGGTCACAATGCATAACACTATGAGCCAATCACATGATGGAAGGTACAAGCACATGGGTTTTTTTTTTTTTTTTACCTCAATAAAGACCCAGAAAGAAGGATATAACATGCTGATGCCCTGATAAACATGTATTGTTGAGTTTCATCAAAATAACAAGTTTCAAAATAGCAACTTAAATCATTGCACCCATGCAGGGCTTACACTAACATTTATTATTGATTTATCTGCATGATGATATTCTTGACACTTTTTCTGTCGATAGACTAATCAATTAATAGGCTGTTTCAGCTCTAAACCCTGTCAGGTCAATCAGTGTAATTCTAGTGAACAGCTGAACATGCAAAAATGCATCATCCTTCCACTGTTAATCAAAATCAGACTATGCACACGTGTCGATTCATCTGAGAAAGCTGAGACTTGATCTTCACATCAAAATGAAAAACTCGCGATCATTCAAACATTACAACAGGATTTGAGCTCTGACACATGGGAAGGATGGGCTTCCTTATGGCAGAGCCTGATAGATGAACAACTGTTTACATGGAAGTGAAGAAAAGATACTGAAGGGAAGAGGAAGAGCAGGAGAGAGGAAAAGGGTGGCTGATCTTTTATTAGTCCTGCGTTTTATTACAGTGTAGACACCAGTGATACATCAACATGAAGTCAGACTAATAAATGAGAGTCAAATCCTTAGATTTATGGAAATATTGGCTTGATATCAGTCCTTCTCCCTTTAGTGAAGTAGAATATCATCATCCGGGTTGTCTGCAACAATTTGGGTGAGGATGCCAAGTGAGAGAAAATGACAATCCGCTCCATCAATAACTGTTATTTACACTCGCTCTATTGGAAGCCGAAGACTGTGGTTAATGATAGAAAAACATACACATTAAGTCAGCTTTGCCTGTGTAATTTAAAGAGTACACATTTTGGGTAATTATTAACCCAGTGATATTAACGATGTTATCTTTGCCTATTTGAACTTGTATATGCAAAGTGAGCTCCACGAGACAAACTTAATTTAATGAACTTAAAGTCAGTGAAATTGAAGTTAAAAAGTTGGTTCTTGTGAACATAATGTGTTCAGTTTGTAATTTGTTCAGTGAGCTGGGGTCCTTTTTATCCGTTTCTAAGACTTTTAACATTGTGATAAAACATAGCAGAAAAATACCACAAAACATTACCCTGAGTCTGACTCAAGACTGTTGAGTCAACTGTTTTTTCTTTTGTCACCCTGTTCAAGTGAAAATTAAATGGACTAAAACCAAAACATCCAAAAGATGATCAGGAAACGAGGCATTTTTAGTGTATTTCATGTAGTGAAATAAGAGTTGGGATATTTGCCTTTAGAAGTATGAAAAGGGCACCTCTCGTTCTTAGTGTCTGTTCATCTCCACCCCCCAGAGCGTCAGAGTTCCCTCGGTCATGCTCCACACGAAGACCCCCAGAGCCACTACGACCTCCCAGTGAACAGCCACATCCCGGGACACTACGACCTGCCACCAGTCCGCCGACCCCCCTCTCCCAGGAGAACTCCTCAGTGACAGTCACAACAGCAGAGGAAGTTTCCCTCCTCCTTACTTTGGGGATGATTTTAAGCGAAGAGCAAACTTTACACTCTTCTCTGACAATCAGAGCTGTAGACCACCCACAGAGCAGCAGCGAGGCGCCTGTCCCACCAACTAACTGTTGTTTACAGTGGATGCTCCCCTTTCAACTCTCAACACTGCCCCTCTGTGGCCTAAAGTGGTACTTGCTTCACCATGACAGACTTGTCATCCAGACTGGGGAGCCAGCAGGCTGCGGTGAGGAAGGCTGGATTGTGGCGACGCCAGCGGGGCTTCAGCTGCATTTGCCTCCCATGGGAAAAATAACCCAGAAGACTTCATGGTTAAAAGCAGCAACTTGGGAATTCTTATGTGTTTGAACTCATCTTGACATACTGCAATTGAAGTTTTCCACATATTTTGTTTGCTACTGATCAGCTGGTGTGCATGTTTAAAAGGCCCCTTTTCATCAGAATTCAAATTTTCTTCTGTCTTCATCATCAACAGTGACTTATGTTTACATTGTTTTTAGTTTTTGTTTTATATTCTATCACTTCAGAATCCAAACTTTTTTAACAGGCAGCTTTGGATGAACAGATCACAGCTGGACTTCCTTTTGATTTGCTCTTCAAAAAACCTTGTCAACCTTAAAAAAGGGAAAGAGACAAAGTTCATGGGACCTTTTTTTGAAAACATGTGCTCTTATACATGAGGTATATTTTCTACAGCGAACGAAGTAGTGCAAAAAAAAAAAAATCCTGCCAGCGTTTAAGACACGTTATTAAAACATTGTTTCTCTATTGGCGATATTCGGGTTTCTGGAATCTGGAGAAGTCAGGTTGTTTCACAAAAGTACCAAATATTTGTTTACCACCTGAAGGCCACGATGAACAGCTTTTCTTTTTAAATTCACATCACTGTCTTCTCCAGATGCTGCGTTTAGACACACAATGATACACGTGTCCCCTGTTTGTTTAAGCCGCGTTTGTTAGTCTATGGTTTACACAAATGTGGCTCGCTTATTGCTGCTGTCAGGAAAAAAAAAAACCTTTGTAAATACAGAAAGATATTGTTAGCTTCACTGTAATGTAGAATATCCCTATTTTAAGATGATCATGTCTTTAAGGGGTTTGTGTGACCAAAGCATTGACTGTGGACCAAAGATACGCATAACATAAGCACAAACTAAAATAAACCATCATCAAACAGGGAATTACAAGCCAAATCAAAGCAGCATTATGAATGTCAGTGTAGTGTCCTACAGCAACCGATTGGTCATTGCAGCTCTGTAATTGTCAGACCCACAATGGGCACTTAAAAACAAAATCATAAAACTTGGCGCCTACATTACTCATAATGCAACTACAGCACAGATAGTCAGGATGGAGTTGTGTGTTATGTTGGAAGGAGCTAATGTAACCTTGAGCTGCCAACATAAAGCAGAGATGAGGACTACAGAGGTCTGGTAGCTCACTTATTTCCAACTCCGTACCCCCAGATATTTTCTGTCTGACTTGTGTTCAGCCCCAACCACTGCAAACGTATTATTTTGGGGTAATTTTCAATACTGTGAGTACCACAAATATACAGAATAACCAAAACTATGTGTAAGGCCAAATACCAGTAAAGGTGATAAAATGTTTGTTTTGTAATGTAACTTTTTGTAATTTTCAACTGTCAACCAAAGTTTTGCCTCTATAAATATTTTTGGAAATATGCGCTCATTTTGTATCAAATCTGGATGAAATCAGTTACATAATAGAACCCCAGGGTACCACAAAAAAATGTACATTGTGCTTTTAAATGCTATAGTTTCTGGGTAGGGCTTCATCTTTTTTTTTTTTTATGAATGGCCAAATATTTAACCTAACTATGGGAACATGTGTGTATATAATGTAAATAAAAATGGATGCACTTTTCATCACTGGTTTTGAATGACAATGTTCTATATACAGGAAATAACCACAATAGTCTGTCATTGGAAAAAAAAAAAAAAAAAGAATTTTACTCATTATTTTAGAAAAGAAAACAAATCATTACATCAACTGAATGCATGGCTTTTCCATAATTTTAACAGAATCGTTATGATAGAAATGACAAAACTTCAAGCAAATTATAACTTTGGCATTAAATGCTCAAAACAAATCCCTTTCTGTAACATTTTAAATCCTCAGGTCCTTAAAATGATTCAGGAGGCCTCCAACAAGACTTTAAAAAGGGAGGGTTCAGGATTTCACAAAGGCCTTTCAAGAGGTTTTGTTACATCTGTGGTTTGAATCTGATTTTATAAGTGTCTTGGTTGTTCATTAACTTGAACCACCATTGCATACTCAAGTTAAAGAGCAGCTGTATGTTTCTTAAGAAAACACAAACAAAAGGAAGAAGGTTCTTTCTGGTTTAAATTCAGACAGGCCTCTGAAAAACTCTGACCACACCCTTTGGGTGATCTGTTCTGAGAGGGATGATTCATTTAATAGTTGCATATATTATTACACACAGTAAGCTTGTCTCAAATGTACATATGACATAAATGCTATGTCTTTGTCTATTATAAATGTGTCACAGAGGCCAAATACTAAACATCTTTGGAGCTGGCCATTTCTTTTAACTAACAACTGTCATGGACTTTAAGGCACTTTAGCAATCATAGTGTCAAAATCAAATATCTACTTGAGGCAAAAAAGAAGAATCTAATGTGGCACAAATAAAAAAAAAAGTAACAAAACAAAATATCAAAAACAGCTATCAAGTATTTTCTGTAAATTATGCTTTTCACTGTAGTATGAATGACTTAAGCTGCCAGACTAATGTACAGATCTACCTGCTGTGCGTATTCCTGCAGTGCATGAAGCCAAAGTATACAAAACCCCACAATCCTACTCAGATCCCAAAATCATGCCTAGAGATTTGCAAAGCCAGTAAGCTTAGAGGAAAGGGAAAATAAGCCCTTATGACCAGGACAAACCTCAACACAAACCAGAGGACAGCTGACAGTCACAAGACTGCAATATGAGGCATGTGCTCAAAGAACACGGATTGATTATGGGTTTTTTTCTGTCCTCCAAAGGCACATTTGTATTTATAATCTCTAAAAAAGCTTGTTAAAATGTTTCCAAAAAAATCTGTTGCACTCTGTTAATAGCTGCAATTAGTTCTATATTAGAATAGTGTTCATTTAGTTGAATAAGCTGAGAAATCCTATAAATATAAACTGTATATATGGCACCAAATTTATCAGTCAAAACTCAATAGATATTTTCCCAACGTAGAAAATAAATTCTACATTTTCCTTTGATCACGACAAAACCTCTTTGGAATTACTACAACAAAAAAACAATTAAGGCAACCCATCTACATGTACATCAATCTGAGCTACATATGGGATTCATTTAACCAGGTACAATCAACTTATCCAGCAAAGAATAATTCCCTATTTATATACACGTTCGAAAACATAATACATTTCTCTGGGGTCGAGCTGGGAATTACAGAAAAATATACATTCATCTCAAGTAATTACTTTCTCTGTGTACCACAGCTGTCCAACCATCTAAATCCACATAGGAAATGTATTATAACATGTTTGTCTAAGGCTAAGGTGAAAAAAAACAGCTGCTGAACACCCTGAGCTTACAGCACTTTGGCTTTCCTTGACTTTTCTAATGTAGATTTGAAAAAAAAGTTTTCTTTTCTCTGTAGCATATAAAGTTAGCACAATACTGTTCCAAAGAAACAAGGAAAATAAATTTCAACATCACCAACATCTTAAATAAATCTATTTGATGGGCGATAAACATGATTAACAAACCCCACAGGATTCATTCTCCTGATGTCTGTATGGCTGTAGAGACTTATTCCTGTCAGGGTTCACTAGCTGTGCGTGTTGAGTGATGACAGCTTGGCCATTAAATGTGAAACCCCGGCTTGGATCGAAGCACTGGTCAATGGAGCTCTATGTCTGTGTGTCAATGTGTGAGTGTGAGAGGGCGCAAGAAGAGGAGGATACAGTACAAGCATTAGCGAGGCACACATGCAATAACATAACTTGAATATATAAAAAAAAAAACTCAAAGGTTGATTATGAAAATCCTGTGCCCTTTGCCAAAACCTCAAAGCAAATTTAACATGCAGATAAATTTGAATACAAAATCTGACGAGATCATATAAAAAAATAAAGATACATCCCAACAGTAGAAAATATTTTTTGTGGGCTACAGGTGGTGGTGGGTTCACGTGAGGTGCTGTTTGGTTTTACATGATGGAGCAGTTCTCCGGCTTGGCACGGCCCTGAAGGAAGAAGTGACACAGTGCAGAATTAAATGTGGTGAAAATAAGAAAACTGGTCAGCTGTTATACTTAGTTTTTAATGTGATAACGTTTTATCCAATAATAAACCATACAATATAATCAACAGAAAATTGCAATGCACTGCTTTTTTAAAATAGTCTTTAAAAGTTAAGGTTGGATCTAAAGTAACTAAGTATTTACTGATGTAAGTTGATTAGTGTAGATGTGTCTGGTGTCTTCAGCATACATTTGCACATTTACTCCATGACATACAGAGGGGAGATCATTGATGTAAAGAAGCGTAAGGGCCAAGAATTGATTTCTGCTGTTCATGTAACACAACAACAGTAATGTACCTGTCTGGGCTCGTTGGTGCCCATGAAAAAGGAATGTCCCACGAGGCCTTCAGGTAGACCCCCGCTGCTGCAAACACCTGAGCCACGCTCTGACGGCTGCCCACAGGAGTCACAGATCACCTTGCGGCTCCGCAAGTTGTACTCGTTCTCTGCACCGCTCGTGCTGTGAGCTCCCTGCAGGGGGCGACGCAACACACACACACACACACACACACACACACACACAGGGTGAATTACTTAACACTGCTGTTCGACTGGGAGACGCTGCAGTCACGGCAGGCTGAGAGTTGTGTTTTTCCTGATGCATGATGATAGTGTTTTCAGATTTGGTGGATTATTTAAGAGTTGCCTAAACAGAAGAGGAATGTACCATGTCATCATCTTCATCATCATGGAACAAGGTCCGTGTTACTTTCCTCATGGCCATTTCCTGATGGTGGGTAAAGTAACAACAAACTGATTAATTTATTGCAGTTAAAAGGAACAGAAATGTAAGACAAGCTCAAAGAAACACAGGTGAAGTCAGACCTCTCCGTTGGCATTGATGAGGATGGTCTGCAGGAGCTCGCCTGCCCCAGGAGTTCTGGCTCTTCCACACCAGTCAGTTGGGGGGTTGTGGGTTCCACCGCCAGATGCAGCCCAGATCTGCAAAGGTCAGAGAGTGGAAGAGATTATAAATCTACTGACATACAGAAAAAAGAAACAGATGATTAAAGATTTCAAAAGGTGCCCTGTAGAGTTTTCTAAAAATAA